AAAGACCCATTTGGTTATATATGGTTTAGGTCTGGCCTGTTTCTGAATAAGCATCAGGATATTTCACCCACCATTATACCACCTCACAGCTTGTAAGATTCTGCTCATCGTATATATACAGTATATTTACAGTTTAGTTCAACAAGAATGCAAAGCAAAAACCAACAATGTAATTTCACAAAAAAAAGTAAGAAAGATCTGATTTGAGAATTGCAACTACCTGACCAATATCCAGTCCCTTTGGATACGTACAGTACATAAAACAAAATAAAATGAATGTATTCAATTATGCATAATATTTCTCTTTGCAATATAATAGTTAAAATATATAGTAATGTTTTATATTATTTTCTTTCTATTTGAAATGATGTATTTTTTGGAATAGACAAACTTTTTTACTGAGTTCACATATCACCATTCTTATCGCTTTGTCATCCTCAATTCATAATATAATAATTAAGCAAATGCATTACAGTTTATGTTACATGTTCCAAAATAAAATTCGTAAACATTTCAATGTCTTTGATGGCTCTTAAATACACAACCACAAATAATTTTGTTGCTCCCTAACTTTGTTGTCTTGGTTTGTTTAAAAGGAAAAAAAAGAAATACAATTAATTTGGCACATCTGCAAAAGTTTTATGAGTGCAGTCTAATGCATTAATTTAAAATGTGTAAAGGTATATAATTTTAAATGTTTATTTTTTTATTTTTTTCTTGCTTTTAAAGACAGGCAGACAAATAATGGATTTTTGTTAGTACAGAACATGGACAGTTCAAAGCATAATGCTTGTACCTGAAGTAAAATTTTAGAAGATAGAATAAAAACAATAGCTCCCCTAGGACTCAGCCACGTGCCCTAATTTTCCATGTTCTCAATGCCTAGCTGCACTTTTACATGATGTTTCTTACATCAGCCATGTACTTCCTCCTTTCCATTTTTTTTGCCAAAGTGTGTTTTAATATTTTGCAATGGCTGCCAAAGCAACTATTTAAACATCTGGAAATCATCCTCCACCACATTTGCTGACTGCTATAATTTACTTAAATGTGGTTCCCATGGAGAAGCTTGACATGTGTGTGTAGCATTAACAACATATCAAATAAAATGTCCATGTCGTCCACAGCACAATGTCCATGTCCATCACTGGAGAGTTCTGCCAGGGGGCCTTGTGATTGCTAAAGTTTTGAGAGCTGTAAGAACTTGTAGCACTTTTGTGTTATGAACTACGAAAACAAATAAACTACTAGTATTTTATCAATTAGTAACATATGAGTGCAGACAATGGTTTCCTTCTTTGTCACTATGGTAAAATAGATTTGGTTTAAAACAGTTTGTGTGTACTGGCTATAAAATAAACATTTGTTGGTTGCATTCGAGATAGATGTTACTAACTAGTTTAACTGGGAAACATTAGACGAACCACATTAATTTAACTCACATATCCAAAAATGAATGAGAATATCTCCATAAATAAATTTTGAGTAGATGTTATTTGTTACTGAAGCTTGGCATGTGTATGTACTGTATGCAGTTAGCCCTCCTGTGAATGTATTTCTGCACTGAAGGGTATGTAACTGAACCCTAGATTCAGACCTACTACCCTGCATAGCCCAGACAAGCACCAAAACCACTACACCATATAAGTGTGTCAAAGAGTCCTGGAGAGTGATGTCATCATAGCAATCTCTTTTTACACCATAAAACCTGTCTCATTACTAATATATAGTTACGTGGTTGATTTCATTGTATGTTTTAAGAATTTCAATTGATGTTGTTCAGAAATTACATTCCTAAGATGTAAGATTGAATCCAGGCCTTCTCCTCTTTTTCTGGCCTTGAAATTTTAGAAATTATGTTGACCCATCATCAATGCTTCACAAGAAAGCATGTGCACATATGAAATGAATTTTACCATTGTATAAGAGATGGCGCTTCCAACATTTGTTTAGAATATGTTGGAAGTCATCAAAGGGTAACTTCTGCAACTGAAACATTCCACAATTCCCATTCCTTTAGAAATCCATCATGTTCCCCAAAATGCATATGCCCTGATTTTTGGAACTGCATATGTATTATCAAAAATTCACAGAAACATTACTGCTGTTTGCAATTATTCTTTTTAATCAAAATACAGCTGCACCAGAGTCTCAGAAAAGTATTTCCATATAAAAATAACAATTGGGCATCAAACTTTGTTTTGTTTTAAGGCAGTATGGGACTTAAAATAAATTAAAACCAAATACAGGTAATGGAAATACCACATTTTAGAAAAGGGTGAATAAGATGGATATCAGTTCTATTTAGTCTGTTCATAAAGCTTTTTTGGTAGAGCTTTAGTTATATATTACAGTCTTGGGTGTGTCTAGTATTTCCTCTGGCAGTGATTTTACCAAATCAGCAAGTTATTTCACCACAAACCCAGTTTATTATACATGAGAATTCTAGAAAGTATTCATTCTTCCTAGCCATAAAGTGCTATGTACCAAAATAGCAAGTCAACGGCAAAACCATTAGGTTTTTTTCATTTTCAAATGTCTAGGCAAACAATCTACTTCTTTTTCTTGAAAGACATGCTGTTATTATCTAGCTTGCTAGCTAAATACAAATATATTTAATTCTATGAGAATGTAAATATGAAAAGGAAAAATCTGGTGTATAAAATATACATCACAAGTAAGTGCACATATTTAGAATAAATAATGCTGAAGTAGCAAACAACACAGTTTACACTTACACTTTCACCCTTATGACTTAATCTTATAAACAGAAAAACAATATAAACTTCCATATATAATACAATATATAAAAATGCAATTATTAAAAAGTGATTAATAAATTCATGTGGATGGAAAACAACCTTCATTTTAGTACTGCATGTATCAAGAAGACCATCCACAATGATGCACAAAAAGCTTTCACCATACTATACCTAAAATTAGCTAGCATTACATGATCACAGTTATGTATCGATTATTTTAAATGTTAATTTCTAGTTTCCCAGGAATGTAAGAAATTGTTATAAATTAATTTTATATTCTTGGTTTTCATTGTCCATAGCATACTTCACTTTCTAAGAATTGCCAAATATGGTAATCTCCATTCTCCTAAAAAAAGATCAAATCAAACAACAGAACTACTGGGAGTAATACAATTTAAGTAACATGAAACAGAAAACCTTATGATTTGAAAAAGATATTGAGTCTGGAAAGGTTCCAGCTCTGCAAAATGTTGCCTAATTCAAAGTCCTTACAAGGCCGTGAGATTTCAATGTTTCTCTACGGAACTGCATTGTACTGTTCCGTGGTTTGTGTTGGAATGTATTTGCGACAAGCATGATGATTTATCTTGGTTTGAAAGACATGATTATGGTAGTCGTTGTTTAATTTTTTTCAAGTATATATTGTGAAAGACATGAAAAAATCAGCAAATGAGCAGTAGAACCAATGCCTCTCAGTATACATACATAAAGTACTACACACACTAAAAAATGTTTACATACATTTTTTGTTATTTGCAATCCTTGACAAGAAGACTCTGCAACATTGCTTAACACTTTTTAGTATGACAAGAGGCTTAACAACTCAGGCCACATCTCCCTCTGATCCTAATTATTCCATTTCAGGCTGTCACCACTAGGAGGCTTATTCCTAGCAAAACCATGCAAAAAAACAGAATTATAAGGAGATAAATCTGTCCTTAAAGTCTTAGAAAGCACATAAAAACACACATACAGTATGTAGTGTGTGTATATATATATATGTTCAAACTTACAAAACATTCTACAATTGTTTGATTTTCTGCTTGTTTTAACTAAAAATAAAACAAAATCTCATAAAACCGAACTGTAAAAAATAATCTTTCTCAAAATGAAAAAAAAATACTTCCAATAATCAATACAATGCTGCAATGCAAATTTAAGAATAGTTTTGATCTAAGACAGGCCTCCTCAAAATTCACATTCTTCATTTGGAATGTAACAGAGCCTATGATTTGTTTTAAGAACTTTTTCTTCAATGACATAATGGGAGCCTAAGGTAATATCACATGAAACAAGAAAAAAGTAAAATGTTCCACTATACAACTTTTTTCCTGTATTAGCAAAATGTTCCCAACGGCCCTCTAAGAAAATTGATGTTTTTTTTTAGTGCCTCACATCTGACGTGTATTAAAACGTTAGCTGTGTTCTGCAAAGGCCACGTGAGGTCTCTTGTTTAAATGGGGTCCACAGATGTGGAAAAAGTGTTAAGAAAAAAAAGGGTTTTGTGGGACACCAGGTGTTCATTAAACTGTAAAAAATGAAACAAAAGTCTTTCTAAGTATTTTTATACTTACGTCATATCTTTTTACAAAATTATTTAATTAACAATGAAGCCAGATCTTATAATCTTATACCATGTTTTGTAGTTTGTAGTGTGTAATACAATCTTTGCTAATACTTTTCAAGAACATGAAAGAATTGGAACATCACATTCCAATTTCTTTCAGATGTCTGCATAGGATCATCTTGACAGGAGGGCACATCATACAAGATCAGTTAAAACAGCAAGCATTCCATGTCTGCATGTCATTGTCTTATGATATTTATGAAGACAAATATAAGTTAACAAAATTACATAGTCATATATTTATTTAAAACTACCATAATAATGCATGTTAAAATCCTTATAATCTTTGATTTTACTTAATATGGCAAAAGTGATAAAATTATAACAATACACACCACTTAACTGAAAAGAACAAAAAACACCAGAAAACATTCTATGTATGTTATATTCTATGAATTTAATGTAAAACATTCTATGTAAATATTAAAAACATTCAATGGTAATACACTAACATACAGTACATCATTGCAGCAAAGCTAAGTCAGAGATCCTAAGCCAAAAAACTGCAGTGAATTCAATATCCCATGCTAATCAAATACCATCCACAGCATGAAAAGAGCCAATATAATACACAACGAGGCAGCATAAACAGTGAAATTGCTTTAACTTACCACTTACTCCACCTTGGCATTTCACAAATAAAACCTGAGCCACAGAAACAGCAAGAAATAGAAAAGTCCTGGAATGCACAAAGCTCATCATGTCTGTTACTAAGACATGAGCTTTTAAGTGTGCAGCTGAGAAAAAAAGAAAGCAAAGTTATTGCAGCACCATCAAGTCAGTGTGTGATCCCTTTCCTCTAAGCACCAGCCCCAGCCCAGACTCTGCAAGCACGTTTTTAAGAGTTACAGCTTTAAATAAGAAGAATGCTGGCAACCCTAATTTTCCTCCCCCTTTATGTGAGCAGCCTCACAATCATCCAGTCACAGACAAGTCTAGCACTGAGGGAATGTAACATTGTAAACAAGCCTCTCCATTTTAGAAAGTTCACAAGAATTATAACTAATACAACAACAGAGATTAAACATTTCAATTTCATTTCATATTGTTTGTGGTGAACTAAATCTGATTTGCCACTATATACAGTATGGCTAAGCAGGATCCTAAAATTGTGCTTAAATTGGTCCACAAGGCTGTAATTCTAAAACAAAGTGAAAGGAACTATTTTTATTTCACTGGAAAATACAAGGGAATATTTCATGAACACTCTAGACCACTGTCTAAAATCAGTGAGCTTTGTAACACTGGGACATTTAGAAGATAAAGGCACACAGGATTTTAACAATGACTAGTTGTTAGTATTATTTTGTTGTGAAATGTTATGAAAGAAGAGAAGACATTTTCCCTTTTTAATTTTGATTTCAGTATATTTGGTATGTTTCTAACTTGTTACAGTATATGATATATCTTCAAATGTATTAAGGAAACTGCAATACACTGTCACATATACATGGTACCTTTTTCTAACAATGGAAGTTTGTCTTCCAAAGTCTACACCAAGAATACCAAGGTGAGTTTCAACTCAGGTCTTGCAGTGGAAAAAAATAATTCTTTTTCACTGGTTTGCTGAAAATATTGGGAACAGTATGTCATATTGGCCCTATAATTAATACATTCATTAGAGCCAGTGTTAGCCAATTTGACTCTACATTGTGCTTCTCTTCTTCTATAAGGCTAGTTGAGTCTGACATTTTTTGATGGCAAATTTCCTTGAGAGGTTATTTGTGAAGCAAGCCAAAAGGGTCATCCTTTGACCATTTAGGAGTTAGATCACAACATGGCTACAAAAAGGGCAACAAAAATTAAAGATGTGCTAAGCATCCATGGCAAGAGCCCTGCCACACAGTGGACCGATGTTATAGATAGCAGAAATATTTGAATTAAATGAAAGAAAATGTAGAGTGAGTCAATGATGTGGCTTGAAGGGTGAGAATCAGCACACCCCAAACAATAGGAAGGTTCAACTTCTACACCAAAGTCTTGCACAGGTTTTGTACCTTTTATAAAGATGTCTTGCAGGATAGAAATGTACACCTACTGTACAGATTCCCCATTTTTCATCCACTGTGGATGACATGATAGACAGATATGCTCAATCAGTATGGTTCAGGGGACAGAACCAGCTTTCTTTTTCTTTTCATGTTAAAGGCACTGTGGTAAAGTATCAAAGGAAGGAAGATGTACAAAACACACAACCAAAGTGTACTCTACACCATGGTACTCAATACCATGGTGAAGGGCACAGAGGCATCAGAAGCTACCTGTAAAGCTCCTGCAGGTATTAAGTCTCAGCAAAAATTTCTCTCATGAGCAGGTAGAGAAGGAAGAGCAAGCAGTGATGCTGGACCTTGTTAGAGCATGTGATAGGCTGAAACGCCAAACTAGCTGCATAAAAGAAAGTAAGGGATATACAAAGTTTTACATCTCTCATTTTGCAGAAAACTCACAACATCTTCTATGATTTCCAATAGCAGTGATAAGTGGAAGATAGTTGACAATCTAAACAGGTGTTTTCCAACTATAATCCAGAGGGACCCCTGTGTCTCTTGTATTTTCACTTGTATTTCAATACTCACATCATAAGTTTCAAAAATATTCAAGTTCAAGCACACTTATTACTAAGAGGTGAATCCATTATGTTTGTCTTAACAGCTCTTAATCAATCATTTTCTGATGAACAGACACAGGTGGGAATGATAATATATGAAACACTCCCATAATTAACTTTTTTCTTCTGCAGAGTTCCATTGTTATATTTCAGATACCACATCTGAAACCTGAATAACTGAAACTCAGAAGCAGCAAAGGGGTTAATACAAATTACAGTAAATAAAAATAAAAAACAGAAGATTCAGTGATCCAACAGGACCTTGATTGGAGACCATTGCTATAATCTATCCCCAAAAGCCACAAGTACCCAAGCAAGAAAGAACCTGGAAACTTGTTCTTCTCACAGTGTACATTGGAGTTTAAGCATAAAGACAGCCAAGCCGCCTGTGAGGCTCCTGCAGACTTAAGGTCTTAGGCAACAATTCCCTTCACCCATAAAGTGAGAGAGGGGGAGTGGCAATCAGTAGGGCCAGGTATTGTTATATCTTTAAGACAGATTTGCTATAGAATTACTCAAGGTAGGAAGGGAGGGAGTGTCGCACAGATGATCTAGGCATAGATGAATGTGAGAAGTCAAAAGTCTCTCAAACTCTCAGTGTGAAATCTCTAAAGCATATAAGGGAAGTGTCCTAGGGATAGTGACATGTGCATTAAAGATCTGGAATCATGCCAGTGTAATATTTTTTATATGTTGTCCTCTTAATTTGAGATAAATCCCACATTCCCTGTGAGAGAGTGGTCTGTAGTTTATGGAACGAGTAATAGGTTTATTCCATGCTGAGAAGAGAAGAGAGAAAACACAATGTTTTGGCTGTGAACCCTTCTTCGGGTGTGAGAAAGACAGGGCAGACAGCAAAGATTAAATTGCACAGAAGAACAAAAGCTGGGAGAGGGGAGGAGGCAGGAGAGGCAGAGAGGCCACTCAGGAAGTGCAAAGTAGAGAGGGGTGAAGAAAGGTGTGAGGTCAAAACCTGCATGAGAATAGAGAAAATAAGTCAGTCATTGAGAGAAGGGGGATGGTGTGAACCTAGTTTTAGGATGAGTTTAGTTTCTGTTGTGTTTCTGCTATGGGAGTTGAGAAACCCTTCTTTGAGAACAGAGACAGAGAGATCAGTGTGATCATGGCCATCTGAGGTGAAATGAGAAACTATAATAATCTTTATTCTTTTCAGCCCTAACATGTTCTCTGAAGTGGTCTCCTAGTCTCCTTCCGTTTTCCCCAACATAGATAGCTGGGCATTTTTTGCAGGAGATACAGTAAATGAGGTTGCTGGAGGTACAGGTTGTTGTCTGGGTGATCCGGAATTGACCTGAGGGGCCTTGAATGAGCCTGTCATTAGATATGTATTTGCAGGTGATGCAGTGAGTTCAGTTGTAGGGGAAGGTGCCTGGTGGGGATCATCGCCCTGTAAAATGGAGTAGTTGTTAATAATGGTCCCGGGGATAGAAAGTGTGTAAGAGTAGTAGGGAAGTACCAAAGGAATGCGGTTGTGAGACCAAGAGTTCCTGGTCGAGTTGATGATCTGAGGGCTTTTTTTGGCCCAGGTGAGGGCCCTATTGATAACATGGGTTGGGTACCCTCTGTTGATAAAAAAATAATACATTTTGAGTGCTTGGTTCTGGAAATCCATGTCGTCACTGAAGAGCCAATGTAGCCGGAGGAACCGTGAAAAAGGGAGAGAGTTTTTGGTGTGAGTGGGAAGAAAAGAGCTTTACAGGAGATAGCTGTGTAAAACTGTGGGTTTGTAATAGACCGAGGGTGAGAGTCAAGGATGGTTAACAGATAGATGTATGTCTAGAAACGGGAAAGTGGTGCAAGATATGTTAACTGTATATTTGAGGGATGGGTGAGAGTTAGTGAATTGATGCAGGAAGTTTTTTGCTGGTTATTAGAGAATGTAGCAGAGCCAACGCAGTCATCGATGTATCGCTTGTAGAGGTCAGGGACAAAGCCAGTATAGGAAGCAAAGAAGCATTCTTCTACCCAGCCAACACAAATATTGGCATAGCTGTAGTCTATGGGGCAGACCACTGATGTGCTTTTTAGCATAGCACCTACTCTAAAGATCCTGGGTAAACTCATTGCAACTCCAGTCATGATATGTGACTTCCCAAATCGATGCACAAAAGGCCTTGTTTCAGAGCAGGACACAACAAGTTTCTAGGTCAACTAAGTCCAGAGGATATAAAGTGGTGTTCAGGTTTCCACAAGGAACCAGCCTACATATTCAAATTCAAAGAGCTTTATTAGCATGCCCGATAAATTAAACCAAATTAAAAACTAATTTTGCCAAAGAAGATAAAATTAACAGAACATTTATAGTACAAACATGTTACTGGACATTTACATTCAACTCATAAATATAAAACAAATTATGGCAGGTGTGGGAACTACAGGATTAGATTTGTTATTGATTTGTTAAGAATATTTTCATAAAATCCCAGAATATTTCTCACAGTGCAGCAGAAAGTGCATCTCTGTCTGTGCTTGCCCCTGCTGAGCTCACAATACTATACTCCAAGTCCCAACCAAGAATGCAGGACTTGGTGTATCGAGGTGCATAGATTGTAATCCTGCATCAAAACCGAAGACTCCACAATGAACTTGATATTGGGTTTGTGATATTCAATTCAATTCAATTCAACTTTATTGTCATTAAACTTACACAGTAAGTTTTACTATGCACTTACACAGGTGCATAGTATAATGAAAAGTGTTTCTCATTAGTCACTCAGGTGCAGTATATAAATAGGACAGAAGATAAGACAATAGACAGTTACACAATAGCAATAATAGTAACATGTAATAACATAACATAAATAACATGTAACATGTAATAACATGTAAATAACATGTAATCAAGTAATCTATGAAGTGTTAATGCTGTAATCAGAAAGGCAGTAAATGATTTTCTTGATGTTCTGCACCATGCTAAAATTAGGGACAACATACAGTATGTCCATGCTTGCAACTGTGTGCCAATGTCTGGCTGTTTTAGTCTACAGATCAAAGGGAGCCCAGTGCTTTCACCTGCAGCTGCAAGTGCTTTACTGTCTGCAGATTCCAGGGAGAAGTGGGAGGCAGGAGCTCTACCAATAGTAGATCCAAATCTTGTAAAGCCCAAGCTAAATTAAATTATTGAAGAAATTATCCTACCTTAGTACATTAGAAACTTAGAAACATTTCGTGGATGAAATTTTGCAGATTTTGGCATGTTAAACCTTATGTCATTG